TTAGAGGTTTATATTGTTTATTTAGCAAGTTTGTTAATTGGGAGTTATTCTGTTATTCTTGTATTATTTAAATACACTTCTCATGTACAGATATTTGGTGAGATGAATGAGAAGAGATGTTTTACAACTAAAAGTAACGACCTTGTAAAAAAGGCAGACGAAGCCGATAGAGTGCTGAAAGGGTGGGGAGGTGGGGGAATGGATCTAAGGTTTTGGGGTGTTCACAAGAATTGGTCTAACCAAAAATTGCTCCAAGTCAAACACGTTTAATTTTGGAGTTCTGGTTGAGTCATCAAAAAAGAAAGTCTTATAGGTTGTAACTATCGATTCTTTTTAAGTCTTTTCATGTCAGTGGTGTGAAATCCTATCGCTATCGTTGTTCATTCTTTCCCATCACTATATCAATATCTCATTCTTTGTTATCCCTATATTATTTCTCTACTATTACTGTATCCATATCGCTCACGTTATTATCAATCTCACTTTTCATTTTCATTCTTATCGTTCGAATTGAAAGTCAAGCTCAATTCTTATGGAGGAAGGGAAGACATGATTTAGTTATTTGTAAATTCGAAATATTTTGTAATTGTGATTTTTTTTTAATTGAAAAGCCCATGATGCTAATTTCTTCCTAACGAAATCTAACATTTTTTTAAAAAAACTTTCTATTGAACAAAAAATTGGAATTAACTAAAAGAAAATCTTGATGAGGCATCCAATGACTGAACACCTCAAACTATTGTGACCATGGTGACCAGTGAATAAGATGGTTATGATGGCAATTAAAACTAGTGTTTTTCGGGAGAAAAGAAAGGAACGGTTAAATATATAATTTCACATGTGACTGATAGTAACAAAATGTTAGAATAACAAGTTTTTCAAAAAGCGGTAAATCTCATTTAAGCTTTCCAATTTAGGTCATTTAGTACAATTTCCTCTAGATTTTCATTCTTTCTCCTTTTAAAAATAAGCCTGGAATCAATTTGAACCAAATCGACCTATATAACTAGCCATTTAATTTTGGTATATATAGATCCAAGTTGGTAGTCACATCAAAATTTTGTTAACTCTTATCCTATTTTTTAATGGGAGGGACTAAATCATTATCAATTTAAAAGTTTATAGACTAAACTGTTACTTTTGGAAGTTCACAAATTAAATTGCGGTGGAACTAAAGATACTTTTAACTGTAAATTGTTTATTATCATCTAAATAATCGTTTATCAACTCCAACAAGTGTTGTTGAAGTTAAAGAAGGAAGGGAGCAACATTTTGGGAGAAAATAAAAGAAAAAGAAAATGAGGATTCCTTACAAATCTACATGACGATATTAAATTGTAACATAAAAACAATAAATGGAAAATAACTGTAAGAAAATAACTGAAAAGCCTAAAAAAGGACAAAAAAACAAAAGGAAAGAGAAACCGTGAATTGGAATTATAACGCCAAGGCGGGCAGCGGCGAATCTGGGTCAAAGTTATCCATGGCTGAAAATAACAGTCATCTAATCCAACGGTCATAATTGTACGAGCACACGAATCGCCCTGCACCGTCCCATTTCCCGATGATCTACTGGGCCAAATCGTGGCCACACGATCAGTTGACTGAGCGACCATGTCGAAAACGAAATGACGCTTACACCCATACCTTCAAAACCACGGCGATTTTCACCGCTCGAGCTTTCTCTGTTCCCCTTCCCACGTTCGAAACCCTAAATCCTGAGAATTTTCGCTCCCTTTCTCGCTTGGATTATTCAGCTACCGTTGTTTTTCTCTGGGTAAGATTGCGCCCTCTCTGCTGGACTCTAATGGGTTCATTTCAGTATTTACTTATTCACTCCTGAGAGTGTTTTGATTGGTTGGATCTTGAGATGACGTTGTATAATTGATGGGTTCTTGCCGTGTTCTTTATTTCTCTATCAATTCTGTCTCTACTTTTCTGCTCGCTTAGTTTGTGTCCTTGAAGAATTTGCCAGAAATGAAGCAACGGAAGCATGGCCATTGTGGCGAAGGCTGATGCTTAATAATGGTGTCGAGAATTATTTTTCTTCCTGCTGAGAAAAGCAGTGCTTTCTCAGACTTTTTTTCTGAGGGAGCACGGAAATAACTGTTTTTCGATGGGAAATTTCTGTATGTGTAGTTTGGATTTCTTTTGGTCTGTTTGTACTTTTGGATCATGATGATAGCGGTAACATAGCTTAGTCGTGGTATCTCTTTTTCTTTCTGAAAACAATTTAGATAGCTTTATGGCATTTATATGTTTATTGCATATTTCTTTCTCTTTTATTTGTAGGGGATTTTTCCTTTGGCACCATTAAAGTAATCATTTTGAGATGTATCAAACCTTTGAAAACTCAAAATGCTTCTTTTGTCTTCTCTGTTCTTATGCTGATTTTTCAGGCAGCTCCAAGACTTAGATTCTTCTGGGGGATACTGCTTATGTGGGGTTCTTGACGCTATCTTCAGTGTTCATCTGCCACGTCTCTAGTCATATAATGGATCCAAACCCTACTGATTCCCCAACACCACCTACTGCTAATTCCTCAGAAACTAAACCTCTAGATGTGCAGCCTCAGGCTCAGGCTCAGGCTCAGGCTACTGCTACCTCTGGAATGGATAATGTAGCACGTGATGCACCATCTAAGCTATCTCCTACTGGCATAACTTCATGGGCCAAAAGCTTGAAAATTTCTCAACCGCAGTCAGCTTCACAAGATGGCTCGACTGAAAATGCTGGGAAGTCAGCTTTTGCTCGTTTTACAAGTGGCTTAAGCTTCAACTTATCTCCAAAATCTCCTGCACCTAATGATTCCTCTGATGGAACTTCTAAACCTACGCAACCTAGTTTTATGGGATCAATTACAAGAGGGTTGGTTGATTCTTCAAAGAGTGCTGTAAAGGCTGTACAAGTCAAAGCGCGTCATGCTGTCTCCCAAAATAAGCGAAGATACCAGGTTTGTCGTCCATACTATCAGCTTCTTTTTATGTGACCATGCTGTAAGTTGTTACAGCTAAATATATATGTGATGGATTTCACCAAGCTATCATTGAAAGGAAAAATGAAACAATAAAAAAGAGCAGCAGATAATTATGTATTTATATATATATATATATATACTGTTTTCTTGCGTTATGAAAGAGTGAGATTTATACTTCGTTTGGCTAATCCTAATTTTTCTTTTAGAATCAGAGGGAGATAACTTTTATATTTCCAGTCTTTGTGAATTGATGATATGATTGCATAAAGTTCGTCTTTACTTGCATTTTGGCATGTTTAAATTTCTCGATGCCAGCAGTTATGTCTATTGGAATAAGATCAGCTGTTATATGTCAAATAGCATTTATGAAATCAGTATTCAACAACTGTGTATGTAAATTGTAATCTGTAGACTTATTATACATACACATATCTCATTTTTCTGTTTTTTCTATCAGTGAATATGGGTAATGGGATAACTAGCAGCATGCTCTTTTGATACAAAATATGATATAATATGTGGAGATTACCATTAGTTTTGGTTAAACTATTCCCTTCATCGATACGTGTTTGGTTTTTTTTTCCTAATTATATATTATTATTATTTTCTTGCTCTTGTTCCAGGAAGGTGGATTTGATTTAGATATGACTTATATTACCGAAAATATCATTGCTATGGGTTTCCCTGCTGGTGACTTGAGCTCAGGGTTTTTCGGATATGTTGAGGTTGTTCATCTTTATTCATGTTTTTTGACTTGACTTGGATTATTTTCGTTATGATTTATATTCTAATACTCGTGAGTTGTGATGCAGGGTTTCTACAGGAACCATATGGAAGAAGTCATTAAGTTCTTTGAAACACATCACAAAGTATGATGGATTTGTCCCTGATATGAATTTTCACTTTTTTTAATTTTCTTAAAGACATGTCATGCTTTAGTACTGTTTGGAATTCGATTCTGTCATCTGATTTCCATCTTTCCATGATTGACATGTATTGTAGATTTGCACTTTCATGTTCTCATTTCTTGTATTCCCATTTTTATCTACAGGGAAAATACAAAGTATATAATCTTTGTTCCGAGAGGCTATATGATGCGTCATTATTTGAAGGAAAGGTTTGTGACGATTTCTTATTCCCATTAATATTCTGGGTTTTTGGTGGGGGGTGGGGGTTTACGAATTATTTTAACAAGTAAACTTTATGAACAATTATAAGCAGTAGAATAAAGTTTGTTGGAAATGAGGCCTACTAATTGAAGTTCTGGTAGAGGTTCTTAACCAAAAAACAGTTCCCATGATGGTTGAAATTATAATGTATGATTAAAATTGTGTTCTTTGCTTTAACATACATTAAAGTAGTTTGCATGCTGCAAGCTGGTCCAGCCAGTTGTTGGCTTTCAAGAAGACCATTTTTAATATATTTTCAATCAGACACATCTTTGGGGATTTTTTTTAGACTGTTCTCTAGATTATTTGTTTTTTTTTTAGACTAGTTAGGTGAAAAGTTGACATGTATGGTATTCTGAGATCTTTCTTCAGGTGGCTTGTTTTCCATTTGATGACCATAACTGTCCTCCAGTTCAACTGATAATATCATTTTGTCAAAGTGCTTATTCATGGCTGAAGGATGATATTGAAAACGTAGTGGTTGTGCATTGCAAGGCAGGAATGGCCAGAACAGGCTTGATGATTTCCAGTCTTCTTCTATATCTGAAGGTTCGGATTTGTTGTGTATTTCTGAAAATTTGAGGAAGTTTAAAAATTAATTTTCTTCCCTATTTTTTTGTCATTTTTCTTGATTTTCACCCTCTGTTGCAGTTCTTTCCTACTGCTGAAGAATCCATTGAATACTATAACCAGAGAAGGTGTTTTGATGGCAAAGGCCTGATTTTACCAAGTCAGATTGTAAGTGAAACATTACCTTCAGAAGGTTTTGTAGTCTTCTCATTTGTCAAAAGCTTCTAAAATAGAATATTTTCTATCTTTCTAGAGGTATGTCAAATATTTTGAGCGTATTTTAACATACTTCAATGGAGAAAATCCTCCCGGCCGTAGGTATTATTCTTTCTTATAACTCTAATTCCATTTCATTTTCAACTTCTTTTGTATCACTTTATAGTTAGCACGGTTACATTAAATTTTCTGCAGGTGTGTCCTTCGAGGATTTCGTCTCCACAGGTGTCCATATTGGATCAGGCCTTCTATTACTGTATCCGACCATAACGGTATATCTCCAAATTCTCCTTTCAGCCAAGGAGTTTAACGTTCAGATTAATAATTTTTGTTGTCATATTTGTCCTTGACTTATTTTTCTTTTGTTTTGTTTTGCTATGTTTGTCACTTTTATGATTCATTATGATTTTAGATCTCCCTTTTAAGCATAGATTTCAAAGATCACTGGTCTTCAGCATATCTAGTTTCCAAATAATGCTAATAATCTGCTCTAATGCTTTCCCAAATTGGCAGGTGTTCTTTTTTCCACTAAAACACATTCAAGAACCAAGAGTCTCTCGGTAAGTGTTTTATTATTTTTTAAAGTAGGGTTCAAAGGATGTCCTCAGTTGCATAAGTAATTGCTACAGTCTAAGATTTTGTAAGAATATTCAATGTTTTTTCTAGATCTATCTAGCAGTCAAGTTCTATATTTTTAAATACAGATATTCATTGAATTCCCATAACTTCTTTCTTGGGACAATATTTGAATGACTTTTGTGACTTGTAACGTGAGGCCAGGCAGAGACTTAAAATCTTATGTCTCATGGATGTGCGATATATTGACTAGAATAGTAATGTGCATTTATTTCTTTTGTTGTTCTTTTAAGATTTAAAAGACCGGCTGTACTAGATTCTATAAGTGATCATTGTAAGGATGATGATGAAAATGAAATTTTAGAATTTTTATTTAAGGAAGTGAATACTCATGGTTGCGTGCTACTATGTAATAACAATAATTATTGCTGTGGTGGTAATACATTGTTCTCTATTTTTGTGTTTTTATGAAAATCATTTTTATATTTTACATGAGATGGATGCCTCACATTGTCTCGAGACTTACACTTCGCCTCTTCAGAAGAAAGTCTCAATATCTAATGATTTCATTTCACTAACGTAGTTTATATCTGTAGCCAGAAGATTTTTGGTTTACTGCACCAAAGAAGGGGATAATGGTCTTCGCCTTGCCTGGGGAGCCTGGTCTTGCTGAGTTGTGTGGGGACTTCAAGGTTCATTTCCACGACCGCCAAGGCGATTTCTATTGGTATATGATCTGAATTCCGATCCCTGGAACTCAGCTTCTTGGTTTATTATTTTTTTATTTTTCTATTATTATTATTTTTTAAATGTAATTATGTAGTGTATTGACATTAGTTGGGTTTACCTGATCTATTTTATTTTCAGTTGGCTAAACACAACCATGACCGAAAACCGAAAAATGCTCTACACCAATGATCTTGATGGGTTTGACAAGGTGAGTACTGAAGATTTTGTCCCCGATCAATGTTTTGGTTGTAGATGTTTAAAACTGTTTGTTTCCTTGTGCACGAGATACAGCGACCCCCTCCCAATATTTACATTTGTTTGGAGTCATGGCTGCTTGTTCAACATTCTAAAGAATATCTCACTTGGCTTTCTGTAGAGGAAACTGCCTTCCCCTGGATTTCAGGTGGAGGTTGTTCTAGTAGATACATCACCCAATGTCGACAACACCACGAAGAAGTCGGATGAAAGCTCAGGCTCGAAACCTTCTGCAGTTGACGGGAGCGAAGTTTCTCAGAACCAAAACAGAAAATCAGGTACTCATGATAAAGATGATGTATTTTCTGATAGTGAATCAGAAGGTGGCTCTTCAAAGAGCAAGAAGGAGGCAGTTGAAGGTTCAGGGACCGAAGGATCTGCTGTCAAGACGGCATCTAAATCTCAAACAAGTGGGAGTTCATCGAACGATGTTGCAAGTTTATCACACGCAACGAAGCAAGTTTCCCTGGGAGATGGTGGAGTCAAACAGACTGCTCCTGCCAGCGACCGAAAAGGAGATGGTATTGGAAGATCTGATTCCCTCCAAGATGTTCCAAACTCAGAAAGTGAATTCAAGGCAATGGCAGCTGATGCTTCTGTATTTACATTTGGCGATGATGAAGACTACGAGAGTGAGTAAATGGTAAGGCGGTACGGTATCATCGCCTTGAGCCACAGGCCGCCCTCTGTACATAAAAACCGTGTGTGGCTTCTGAAGCTGCAGGTCGAACCTTAAGATTCATTCATTTGGGTTGTAAATTCAAAGTCTGTCTCAGTGTCTGGTTTATTAATGAATTGAGATAGCATGAAAGTGGAAAGCATCTCAAGAAAAAGAAAGAAAAACAAAAAGAAGAATATTAAGTTGGTTTTGAAGATAATACTGTTCTATAATGTTCAATAAATGTTGGTTCAGAATACTATTTGTGGCATTGTTTCTCGAGTCGTCCATTTGCTTGAAATTTGCTGAATCAGTCTGGCTTTTCTTGTAGAGTTCATTTGGCCATGGTGGGTCTTAGAAAGTGGATTAATTGTTTTTGCCATTTGTTATTTGTTCGAAAGTTTTAATGGGTGATGTATTTCATTTTAGTTTTTGGTCCTAGTTTCAATTTGGTTTTTTTATTATTAGAAAGAATTAGGCCACATAAAAAAGAAAAATGAGCCATAGTTCAAGGACAAGGAACTATCACTATCTCAAAGGAGGATGGTTACCTTATTACCATAATTGTATAACTCAAAAAAAAAAAAAATCTCAATGTAGAAATTTGGAAGAGAATTTAGAATATTTCCTCTATTATGAAATCTAACTTCGTTAGTTATTGTATTCAATTAGTTGCTATAATTACAAGTTTTTTTTTGGTACTGCTATAATTACAACAAACTATATATAATTTAGGGTTTAATTGTTACCATTTTAATAATTAAAGGATAAAGTTATATCATAAAATTTATTTCGGTAAAATTTAATTGCCACCCCTATATAAATTTGGAGTAATGATTCAAATTAAATGTTTGTAATTGTCAATGGTAACAATCCCACTGGCTTATTTTTGTATTTTACCAACAAAAATATGAAAAAAGGAAGAAAATACCCTCTTCCTAAAAGATCAAAACTATTATTTTGCGTCCACCTAAGCTTATTTCAACGGTTAAAACATTTACTTCGTTCCTTGAATTTGAAGTCTCGAATCCTCACTTTATATTTGTTGTATTAAAAAATAATTAATAAAATTATTATGTCATAGAATTGTTGCTGCAATGCAATTTTTCGATGATATTTTTTCTTCCCTGTCTGTCGAGCTCTGTGTGATTCTTGAAGGTGTTCATCAAGAGAGACATTTGGTATATTTGGTTTAAAGAACCAAAAGTCAGCCAATGGTTTTGGTTATTAAATTTATTGAAACTATTAATTGTACAAGTCAACTTGTTCATCCTATTCCTGTCTAATTATTGAAGTTTCATATTAATTTTATAATTAAAAAATATAAATATCCGATTTGATTTGGTCTTGGTAATGTGACATTAAAAAATAATATTCATTGAATTGGGTAACATCAGCATCGAGTTTGACTTTCTCAAATATATATACATATATACAAACATATATATAATATATATCGAGTTTGATACTATCTTTTTCCTTTTTTTTAATGCATAAAATACAACAATGCCACAAGAAGTCAATTCCAATTTAATTAAATTAAGGTCACACATTTTAAAATTCAACTTGCAAGATTTTTAAAACGTATGGTGGAAAATAGTATTGTTGTAAAATTCTTTTTAGTTTCGTAACGTTAGTCTTGATAGCAACCAACCAAACATAAATCCCAATCAAATCCTATAAATAGCTAAGGATCAGTACAAATGTTATATTTGTTAAATAGTTAAATATTCAATATATGAATTAAATCTACCAAACCTATTAATTTAAGTTTTTAGGTTGTGTGGTGATTTATTCATCCTTAATATGATATTAAAATGGGAGGTGCTAACTCATTAGCTTAAGCGTTTGGGTTGAGTATTGATTTATTAATCCTTAATAAGCACAAACATACACATTGTTCTAAACAAGATGTAATATAATCGTAGTTGAACGATAAGCATCCTTATGATAGAGGCGGCCTAGACAGTCTTTCATGTACTCTACGTTATGACATCTTCATTGAAATTCTGTATCCCATTGATAAATACAATGCAAATTATTAAATAAATTACTAGTATTTTAACTAGTTATGTTAAAGCTAAATTTTTATAATAACTTTATATACCCTAAATTTCAAATAGATATTTTTTTTGGTGGGTCAAGCAAGCAAAGGAAGTATCCAAGGAGAAAAACTCCATGTACCAAGTCCAAGTGAGATTTTGAACTAAAAAAATGGCTACGTAAGATTTCAAACCACTTAGAAAACACAAAAACACACGTATCTTTGTTGGAAAAAGTAAGAATGACTCTTTATTATACTAATTTAATTAGATTTTATGTGTAATACACGTAATATATATAGTATTAATTATCGACTTAAGTATGAAAGATATGTATTTTAATAGTCATGAGTTCGAATTCTCATCCAAACATGTTGTTATACTAAGAAAAATATATAATCTTAATAATTAAATTTTAATACCCCCAACGGTTAATTTAAAAAATAAAATAAAGTAATATATTTTAACCTAAAATTATATAGAAGCATGATTATTAATTTGATTTTTTTTAATTCAAACGACGGGATGAGGAGAAAAATAAGGAAGGTTATAGGTATTTTACCGATTGGATTCACACTATTGAATTGAATTCTGAAAAAGATAGAAGTTGAATGGAAATGTATAAGGTAAAAGTTAGAACCCTTTTAACTTCGAAGAATTATTGATCAAATAAGAACTTTCTAACATTTAGAAAATAAAAAGGAAAAAAGGAATTTCTAAATGGGAAGATGGAAGCAAAATTGGGAACATGCCTTGAAGGGAAGACGCGGCAATATATAATAGCAAACGGGTTTCACCCGGGCGCAATTTTCCTTCTCAGGGTCTCTCTCTATTTCGTCGAAGAACCCAGAACGCGGGGGTCTTCAATCTTCATTGATTTTCCTTGAACCGCCTCATACGCCGCCTTCTTTTCCTTAAATAGAGTAAAATCCTCTTTTTTCCTTTACTTGTGTTTCTTTTTTTTCCTTCTTCGTTGTGGGTATCTCGATTTTTTTGTTGATGTACCAGAAGGAAGCTTCAGGAATTCGATTTGGTTGTTTCTGGTTCGTGGGTTAGAGGACTCTTGTGAATATTCGATTCTGGTTCTGTGAATTTGATCGGTTTTTGTTTTGTGGGTTTGAAGATTCCTGTGAATATTCTGTTCTGGGTCTGTGAAGAAAAGGGTAAAAGCTTTTCAGGAAACAAAGTCAATTTTAGAAAACCCAGCTCTTTTATCTCCTATTGATTCTTCTATGTCGACATATGCCATTCAGGGTCAGCCTCTTGAAGTCACCGGTATGCAATTTTTCCTCTCCCTCCAAAATAATCTGTCTCTTTAGTTCTGTTTTGACATTGGTTGTGCTTCTCAAATATTTCTCCAAAAAAAAGAGGAAAAGTAAGAAGTTGATTTCGCCTCTGGATATGGTTTTTGTTGTTTTGGGTCAGTTATTGGATGCACAAAGTTGAAAGATACGGAATGGATTTCAAGGCAGGATCCCTACGTGTTACTTGAATATGGTAGCACAAAGTTCCGCACGACCACCTGCACAGGTTTGATTCTGGATGTTCCTTGTTCTGTTTTTGTCTTGTTGGTTTTGTAATTTGTTCAGATCTGAGAAGATGATCTTAAACTGAATGTGGATTTGATTGACAATGTATAGATGGTGGCAGAAATCCCACATTCCAAGAGAAATTTGTGTTCTCTCTGATTGAAGGGCTAAGAGAGATTAATGTTGCAGTTTGGAACAGCAATACAGTTACTTATGATGATTTCATTGGCAATGGAAAGTAAGATTCAGGTCCTCTCTTCCTCTTTGGTTTTTGATGTGTGGCTGGTCAATCTTAGCATCTGTTTAGCTAACCTTTTGTCAAGATTTTCCATATGTGGTACTGAGTTTTGAAATTTCTGTTCTGTAGAATCCAATTGGCAAAAGTTCTATCAGAAGGATATGATGACAGTGCATGGTCACTTCAAACTAAAACTGGCAGGTATGATATGACCGATAATTTTTTTGAGAAAATTTTCCCCTTTAAAACCATGTTAGAAGCTTTGACTTGCAAGCAATTGGATTTTAGGTTCGATCTTTTGTTTATTTCTTGTTACTATTCATATAATGGTTTCTGCTTAATGTTTTGTTCTCTTTCTTAGTTTGTTTGTGCGTATGGCTTGTTTGAGAACAACTTAACTTTTAATTCCTACTAAAATCTATATGCTTATCAGCTTATGAATAGATTTGAACTGTATGATAGTGTTAGCAAATCCTTAAATCATAGTTTTGAAGAAAAGATTTAAGAGTAAAACCAGAAAATTGTCTTGAAAACAATCTCCCATGTGAGCCCTTAATTTCTTGCCCTTAAAGAGTTCAAGTCTATCATTTGTCATGATCCTAGGTTAATTATTAACATCGTGGAGTTGATCACAGGTATGTAATTGTTCTCCACCTTAATTCTTGATGTGGTTTCTGAGTAAGAGGATTTGTGTGTCCTGATGGCATTGCTTTGCAAAGATTTCTATAGGCGTTGTGTATCAAGGTTAGGATGTAAGTAGAAGAGTTTGGTTTAGCCATCACCCCTTCCCTACCCACCTCCCTATGTTATGGAGGAATTGCTCTCATATGACACTAATACGTTGCAACTTTCGAGTGGATATATGTTTCGATAACTGTCATTTGACGACAACACCCCTAACAGGTTGATTTCTTTTAGTGTTGAATCATAATAACTCTTTTATCAACTTGCAAGAGTTGGCTTGCACAGCACTATGCTCGCTTCTTCTGCTCGAGATTCACATTATATTTTATTCTTTGTGCTTTAACACGCAATTCATATGGAAAAAGGTTCATGGTTATTTGTGATTTGTCGGATCATCTAGGAAGTTAGACGTTTCGATTTCATTATTATTTAACGTGATATCTTGACAAGCAATGCAGAAAACATCATTTCCCATAGTCCAAAATCTAAAATTCTAACCTTCACCTTTACCTCCTGCAGACATGCTGGGGAAGTACGGCTGATTTTACATTTTGCTACTGCCACTGTAAGTGAAACTACATATTTTATTGTCTGTTTCTTGACCAAAGATAATTTGCTATATTTTTGTATAAGATAAGATTCATCAGCCAAGAGATGATTTGTCTATTTCGATTGCAGAAACCGTCGTCAAGTTTTACACCCTCAGCACCACCATTCCAAGCACCCGCTCCACCCCATGTCCCCGTGTACGCTACGATGCCACCCCCACCATCCCACACAACAGCCTACCCTCCTCCTACTTCTACACCCTATTCATTTCCTCCATCTCCCTTTCCTTCTTACCCGCCCAGCTCAGTAGCATATCAAACATCCATGTACTCCCCATATCCATCTGGGTATCCTCCCTCTTCGTACCCACCACCCCCCTTGGCCTATCCTCCCACTCCTTACCCTCCGCCTCCACAAGCCTCGCCCTTCTATCCTCCAGGTAGATTCACGCCCACCTCGACGCTTTGTTATATGATCAATTCACAATGCAAACTGAAACTTTATTCTGTGTCTGTTTTCTTGGTCAGGTCCTTACCCTGGAGTTTACCCCCCACCACAGTATTGAAATCTAAAGGTTGGCTTTGAAAGACATCATCATAAGTTGTATAGAGAGAGCTTCACCTTCTAATAGTCTGCCTGTAGACTAATGCTAGTGGACCTTTTTTGTTTCCTTCTTTTTTGAACTTTTATTTTGGTGTAAAGACTGATTTGACAGTAATATTTTGAAGTTGCTGTATTCTTTTTTGGTTTAGTTCAGCTTATTATGAAAACAAGACAACAGATATCAATTGGTTTATACAATTAGAAAAAGTTCTCAAAGTTGGGTATATGGTAAAGAAAAAGCAGGAGAAGTATAATTGCAAAGTGTGAAGAAGGGGAGGATTGACATTGATATAAAGCAAGGCTATTGATGGAGTAGTTTGAGATTGTACAGAAAGAGAGAGCTGTGGGCAGAGCTTTGAAACTTCTCCTCAAAATTTCTTTTCTTTTGTTTGTAGTGAAACTAAAGGATGCAGGAGGAAGAAGATGTTGAGTGTGTATTATTGGACAAATATTTGGTAAATCATTTGTTAATATCTGATTAGACATCTCAAAAAGTGCTTTCATTCTGTCATTTGCAGATATAGGTATGAAAGTGTAAACAAACAAAAAAAATGATAACAGCAGTTTGTATTAAAGTTTCATTCGGCAGTGAGATGTTTTATTTCATTTTGAGACGGTGAAAGATTTATTTGTTGATTTAAATAAATTTTATGAATTTTTTAAAAAATATTTATCAATATTCACATTTTATTGATAATCGAGATATTAGCATTTCCATCATAATTACATTTAAAATCTTGACGACAACTTTAAAGAAAAGTTCAAAAAGTTCAAAATTTTATTTTTATCGTGTGGTTATTGAATTTTGATTGTTAGGGTATTGTTTAATGATGATTTGATTTTTTGTTTTTAAAAATTAAGCTTGTAAACCCGACCTACTTTTTAAAATTATTTTTGAAATCTAAGGAGAAATTTGAAAACTAAAATTAAATTTTTTTTTAAAAGGTGAGAAAAAATATCAATAAATTTGTGAAGAAACAAATATAATTTTTAAAAATATATAAACATGACCTAATGTTTTAAATTTTAATATCTTGCTATGATTCCTAAACTTCATAGAAAAGAGCTTAGTTCAGCGGTATSGACATCTATCAACAATCATGAGGCTACGAAAATGTTGTAGTTAAAAAAATAATAATAATAGAACTTCATATAACAAAGTAATTTTCGTCGTATTGTTAACTGATTTGATTAACAAAAGATAGATTATAAAATTAAAGTAGCTTTTTAAACCAAACTTTGAAAATTTTAGTTACTGAATGAATGTTTCAGTGTTATAAACTGAATCAGAATGTAGAACTTTACTTTTCGGTCAGGAAAAAAAAAAGGAAAAAAAAAACCTCTTCCTCTGATTTCTTTACATATTGGCCATCATGTTTGAAATTCAAATAATCAATTTGAATGGGTCTTTTTTCATTCTCTGTCTGATAAAAAATTTGAATTAGTCACATGAAACATAATCAAATAAACTAGGTTTAAATACATTTTTGGTCATTGTATTTTCATCACAGTAACAACTTAGTTCCCAAATTTTAGTTTGTAACAATTTAGTTCTTGTAGTTTAAAATTTGTAATGATATAGTTCATAACATGAAAAATATTGTTAATTTTGAATAGAGTTTCTTATATATATATATATATAAATTGATAAATTGATGAGGATTAAATGTGTTTTTGTATTACATCAATTTATCAATTACAAAAACTAAATCATTATATAATAAAAATCGACACTCAATTTGATGAGATTGGCTAAGTTTTGTTACCAATTTGAAAATACATTAACCAACTGATATCCTCACTTGAATTTGCACATGATACATGCAAAAATTTCAATGCCTTCGAGATCAGATGCTGTTTGAGAAACATAAGATAACAAAGTTTTATTATTAAATGACTCTAATTATACTATCCCTATCATTTTTATTTTTTAAGCCTTGAAATCACCTAGAATAAATTAAAAGATGGGACTTTTTTTTTTTTTTTTCTCTAAATAATTTCATCTGTTTTTGGCAGCTTTGAGAGTTGAGACCCTATTATCAGACATCTTAGCTAAAAATACAGACACCATCAGAATCTCTCAGTCTATAATTAATTACAAAATTCCAACAAAGAATTGACAACCTAATTATAATTGAAATTAATTAATTTGTTCACAATTACAAAGAATCTCTGTTCATATTCCCTTTCCATTAGCTTCACTCCAATAACTTCAATTAAATAACTCTAATCTGATTTCATAATTTTATATCAACCCGTAATTGACACCAAAATTAGGGTTTGGCTCCTACCCATTGTTGGAGAGTTATTCCCTTATGATCTGTATGTTTCATTCAAATAGGAAAAGAAAAAAGAAGAAGAGAAGAATATGGTTTGGTTATTGATGTTCTCTAATTATAGGAAGAGCTTTGGAGGGGAGATTTTGGTGTGTGACAACCATTTATTTTGAAACAGACAGGTCGGTTTAGAGAAAAAGGAATGAAAGTTTCTAGTGCTACCGTCTTTGTAAATAATTATTTAATGTTGGTAGATCTCACATCATTCTCAAATGACGATGACGTGGATGACAATGGAAATTTCGTGTAGTATTAAAATTTTTTTTCTTAAATAAAAGTTCTTTTTAAGTTTATTTTTAAAAGTAAACTTAAGAATGGAGAACCGATTAACTGATCTATCCAAAAACTTAACCGCACCGATCAAACCAAACTAAAATTGAATTAAATTGAAAGTACAATAATATGTGCAGGTGAGGATTTGAATTCACTACCTAGCTACCTTTGATCAGGATAGGTACCTTAATTTACAATTTAAGTAGGCAAATCAAATCGAACTGAGTGAATTTTCTTGATTTTATTTTTGAATTTCAATTAAACACACCTACATATATTGTAGCGATAGTAATATATTGGAAGACAACTTGGATTAGGTGATTAGGTAATAGCATTTGACATTAGAACAAATTTTTAGAAATTTTCTGCAGTTTTTGGCATATGATTTCACAGTTTAATCACTGTACACTAACCTGTTCTTAGTGGGACTTTTTTTTTTCTTTTTTTTTTCCAAATTTAATTTCAGACGATGCATAACTTTCATATATTTTTTTACAGCTGTTTCCATAGATTTTCTTTTCCTAGATTTTAAAATCCTGAAATAAAAAAATAAGTCTCCATACTTATTTCTAGTACAATAAGTATGGATRAGGATCCTACTTGTTTTAATTTGAGTTATTTTCACGTTAGCAAAATAAAGACTCTCTAGATCGAATAATAATAATAAGCTATAACTTAACATTTCAACACGAYCATATCTCAATGGTTAAGACACCTTATAATTATTTATTTTAAAATCAAAAGTTCGATCTCCATACTTATATTTGATGTACTAAAAAAGTTAATATTTACCAATCATTTTAAAAACGATCTCCCAAATAATCCTTAGTTTTTGCTTTTAACTTGAATCTTGAATCTTGAAATGGGTGGAGATCGCTCCAAAGGAAATATTTCAATCATTAAAAGAAATGATAGATGTTAATATACATTATTTATCTTTCCATATTAAAGAAACAGTCCTTTAATGTCAAAGCAAGCTCAGAGCAGAGGACTATGCCATATCCTACGTACACAGAAAGAAGATCTTCCTATCTATTACCTTTTCCCCTTTTTTTYAGGTCTTCAATCATAGGAGTAGGGTGTTAAAAAAAAACTCCGATGATTCAAAATCTCGATCAATCCAATTCAAACCTTTAGAAGGCGGATGGACGACGAGAGGGTGGTCGGNAATTGACCAGATTTCATTTTATAATTACAATAGTTAAAATATGTTCAAATTAGAAATTTAATATATTTTTTAAAATACTAAATTAGAAGGTACATAGATGTGTATAAGAGACAGCCTTAGAGATGCTATAAAATTATTGTCAACATGAACATAGTTCAACAATTAAGACATTTATTTCTTTCCTTGAAGCCTGTTTATACAAAAAAAAAAAAAAAAACAGCGGGATAGAATAAGGTTCGAGCTGGACCTGGATAAAGATGTATGTCCTCCACGTGGCATTACGATTTTCACCCCAACCAAAGTCTTCCTAACCTCACTCAAAAAAAAAAAGTTATTATTTTTTCCATGGRTCAACGTTAAAAACTAATTAAAAATAATGCATCACATAAGTTATTTATATATAAAAAAAAAACTAACATTATAGAGGCATTTTGGAAATCACATGAGTTAAATCATAAGATTTTGAAAGGAATAAATAGAAATTGAGCTCAAATTTCAAAAATCAAAATGCAATATTTATTCTGTTAATATTTTAAGTTACTATTGTGTTACACTATATTAACTTGTTTATTATTTATCAATGGAGTATGGTAACATATTTAATTTAATATTTGTGTATATAAATTCATAAGAAATATGGTATGAAAATTATATAGAGACGAAATTCATAATTTAAAATAAGAAAATTGAAAAATAGTCCAACTTAATGACTTTCCGTGGCTACTTTTAGAGGCGGGAAAGGTTTTTCCCCATTCGCCCTCGCTTCGCGTGTCATACACTTCACTATTTTTTCCCCTCTTTTAAAACGTAGTTTCAAAATATTGATATAATTTCTAAGGCTTCGTTGATAAAGGTTTTATTATTATTTTTTTTTTCCGAAAATTATGTTGGTTTACTCGTGATTTATTTGATATGTTTTTCAAATTTCTTATAAGCCACATTTAAAAAACAAGAATAAATTAAAAAAACTTTGTTTGTTTTAGTTTTAAAATTCTTGTTTAGATTTTAAAAATGTTAGTAAAAGGAGATGATGGAATAAAATAATACGTACATGAAATTAGTGTTATAAAATTTATTTTAAAAAACATAAAACTAAAAAATAAATTGGTTATCAAACCAACCCATGATGATTTACTTTATTCATGCTTCACTTTTACTTTTACTTATTGATTTAATTTTCCTTTCATTTCAAGACAATATCTCAATGGATGGTATGAAGCTTTTTGATTATTAATTTTTTTAAATAAAATTCAACAGAGAATCTCTACATACTTAAACCAAAGTAAAGAATATCATGTAAATAATATTAAAACTGAAAAGAAAGAATATAAGGTCATTATTGTAAAAGTATAGGTCAATGAAAGATAGATTAAATTAACTATTTTTACTAATGTCAAAATCACAATTATTTGAAAATGACTTGTCAATAATTTTCAAGTGAAATGATTTCCARGTGATTTTCGCTAAAAAAAAACTAATACAAAATTAGTTTTTAAAATGGTTATTGATTTAAATTTCAAATTTATCTTTYGATTTCATCTTAAAATTTGAGATTTTTTTTTTCATTTCTAAAATTTTGTAATATCTCCCAAATTATTGGTTTTAATCTATTTTCTAAGTTTATTTCTCTTTTTAATTTTTTTTTCTCACCCTCTCAAATTTCTCTATAAGATTTTGGTTATTCTGTAAACGGTTTGTAAAATTCTCTCTTTAAACTTCAAATATTAATACTTCAAATTCACTTTTAATTATAAAAAAATTATTTGAAAAAGTGTGTAACTAAATGTTAAAGTAGCTGTATAAAAATTATTTTCACAAAATCCACAATCGTTAAATCTTTCTGCTAAAAATCATTCATTTTAAAATCACTCTCAAACAGATCCTAATGTATTTGAATTAACTTCAATTTTGGAGGGCCAAAMATATCTTTTAAAATTATAATCAAATAATTTAGCATTTGAAATAATCAAATCAATTTATAATCTTTTTTTAATAATCACTTTAAAGTTTATAATCAAGTGGTTCTAAAACAATTGATTGAGAATCACTTTATAATAATTTAGCACCTGTAGAATCAATTTTAAATATAGTACACCCAAACAAACTAGTAATAAAAATCACTTTGATAAGAAAATGTAACCAAACACTCATGTATTTTAATTAATGCTAATCTTATAACAGGTGTATTAAAGAGTATTTATTTAAGTGGTGAGTAAAACTATGTTTGGATTAACTTTCTAAACGACTTTGGCGGTCACACGTGTTTATATTTCTTGTAATAATTTAGAATGGATAAAAATCACGTTTTTAATAATCAATTTGGTCTATAACTTTTTTTGAATACTGGTCTATAAATTATTTTTGGAAGAATTGTTTTAAAATTGATTATTCAAAAAATAATTGACCAGATTTCATTTTATAATTACAATAGTTAAAATATGTTCAAATTAGAAATTTAATATATTTTTTAAAATACTAAATTAGAAGGTACATNATATTAGAATTCCTAAAAAAGAGGAAGATTTATGGTATGACTTTAAACAAAGAACAAGATGAGCTGTAATGAAAATTGTCTGCTTTGTGACTGCCATTACCAATAAAGTAGTCTTCCTCCAATTTATCACAATAGCCTAAATATTTTGCATTCAAAATAGGAGGGTTACAAAAATATTTACTAAAATTAGTAAAATAACAACCATATATATTTTTTAAATATAATAATTTAAAGGAAAATTGGAAGTCCAATTTTAAAATGACAATTTTGTCCAAATGATATATATCTATAATATATTTGTAATATATTTAATTATTGACATATGTATGTGATATACATCTGATATACTAYTGATATGAGTCTCTGATATATTTATGTGATATATATCTGATATACTACTAATATGAGTGTCTGTGAAATATGTATGTAATCTACATCTAATATACTATCGATATGAGTGTTTGATATACTACTGATGTAAGTGAAAATTTTTACTATATTTGAAAATTTAAAAAACAAGTAACATATTTTAAAATAATTTTTGCTATCCATTGCAATTTTCGTGCAAAATATATGCCAATAAGTTTTTTTTCTTTTTTAAATTAATACGAATTCCATTCTTATTTAATGGTATAATTTCTAATCTTTTATAAGCTCAGTGCTTGCTTAATAAGTATTTTCCTTTCAGTTTTCTATTTTTTATGTTGTTTCAACGTATATATTTTTTTTATTTTTTTTTATTTTTCAACTTTTATAAAATTACATTTGAATTTTAAGTCAAATTTCAAAAACAAACCTTTCAATTTTTTTTAGTTTAAACTCTAAAAATACTTTTAAAAAGTGGACAATCAAACAATGAAATACATCAAAGAGCAAAACTGAAAACTAAAGACAACATAATTATTCAAGACCTCAATTACATCAATTATTTAAAAATACTTTGATTTAGTATCTATCATTGATAAAGTTCACGAAATTAAATTATCGTGACATTCTTATTAAATTAATATTGGTTGATCTAAAAAATGCTAGACACCAAATGTACAGTTGGTTGAAACATACTTAATTTACATGTTCCTTATAACTCATCTTCTTTAATATTTTTAATATTTAATATGATATGATATTATATTTATTTGTACTAAGTAACTTGAAGATTATTGGTAGAAAATCAAAAGCTTAAATTTAATTGTATTTTTTTTGCCTTTTCCATATTTTGAATAAAAAAGATCGACGTCAATGTAAATATATCTCAATAAGATGAGAACATTGAATCTCGACCGTTTAGAAAGAAAGCATTTAAAATAAAAATTATTACAAAAGAAAAGACTCACTAAAAAAAGAAAAGAAAGAAAAACCCATTAAAGATTCTTAATTATTTTTGTTTGAAACAAAACAAAATTGAGTCACTTTCTCCAAAGAAAATTTGTTATATTTTTAAATAGTTGCTTTTACAAAAAGATAGATTTAATTAAAATAAGAAGATGAYTTGACTCATAATGTTACAAATTTGTCAACCATTTGTACATTTCATCTCATATATGGTTGAAAGTTACATATTCCACATCACCTTATATTAAAGATCCAACTAAAAATTTTATGTCGGTTGAGAAGAGGTTGGGCCCATATTATTTAAATTTGTTTGGGTAAAGTTCAAAATCAAATCCATCCATATATTTAGCTCAAAACAAGTCATATAATAATACCATTATAATTGTCCAAATGATATTATAATAATGTATTTTGCTATTTCAAATATTTACAAATTTTAAAGTAGTCTTCAATTTTGAAGCATAAAATTATTCTTTAATTTCATCTTTAATGTTTTAAAAGTTTCAATATCATTTATTATTGAAATTAAACCATGAAATTTTAACTATTTTGTTATAATACTTTATCAAGTAATTTCTTTTATTTATTTATTTATTTAATTGAGTGAGATACAAAATAGATGTGATAATACTTTTACCAAGTTAGTTATTTTGTAATTTGGGTTGAGTTAATATCCCAATAAGGGATAAGATGAATACTTAACCTCACATAAACACTAAAACCTACAAGCAAATTTGAATTAAAATACAAATTATTTTAGGTCAAAACTTAAAAATCCTTGAAATGAGATCCACGCTATCATAATCTATGAAACTGAGTTCTTCTTCCTCATTAGAAATATCAATATCCAAACATACGGTCCATCTTAAGTGGAAAMTATAATGTAACAAAAGCACTTTGAGAATGTTTTCTAAATTTGATCATCATAAAGTGAGACAAAACCATCAATCTTTTAGCACGGCTTATTAAGGTAATTATTATGGGTGACTCATTGGTACAAAGAGACTAGGATTAATTAGGACGGAATGAGTTCAAATCCAATAATGACCACCTATACCTTAAGAACAAGTAAATTCTATGTGTTTTCCGTCCGCAAGTCGCCACATCGTCGCCTCACGCACTCTCATCCAACAAAACCTTCGATTTTAAATTTGAAAATTCAACAGTAGGATCAGCCAAAAACAACTCCGACGAACCGATGACCAACCCTAGGGGTTATATGTTTGGGCTCCAACTTTGTTCCTTTTTACTTGTTCCATTACACATTTCCTAGCCCGCCAAATACAACACACCGAAAGCACAAAAACATCTCGCTCTCTCTCTCCCCTATTTCAAAATCCACCACACACACTCACACCCCTCCCCTCTATTTTATAAAAAAGACAACCTTGAAATCCACTCTGCTAAAAAACTCAACCCTCTCTCTCTCTCTCCCTCCTCAATCCCCAACAACCACAAAAGAAGAACAAGAAACAAAGAAAGAAAACGAAGAAACAAAACAAGGGTCTAATGGGGTTTCTCCTCTCCTCCCCATAATGACTCCACAAAACTCAACCCTCTTCTTCCAAGAAGAAGAAGAAGAAAATGGCCTTGCACCCAAATAAATACCCCACCCACCGCCACACAAACTCTTTGTTCTTCCTCTACTGCACAGAGGAACAGAGATTGGCCAACCAAGAACAAGAACAAGAACAAGAACCAGAGGCAGAGGATCCCATTTTTGACGACAATGGCGCAAACGGTTTCTCCAGCTGCTCCTCCATTTTGGAACAACCGACCCATTTGGCTGTTTGTGAAGATGAGGAGCTCAGGGGCTTGTTCTCCAAAGAACGGGATCAGCATCTCCAAAACGCCAGCGTTTTGGAGAACGCTGCTCTGTCTCTCGCTAGAACAGAGGCCGTCGAGTGGGTTCTCAAAGTTAATGCCTTTTACGGCTTCTCCTCTCTCACTGCTCTCTTCGCCATTAATTACCTCGACAGAATCCTCTCTGGCCCCCATTTTCAGCGAGACAAGCCATGGATGGTTCAGCTTCTGGCCGTAACTTGCATCTCTCTGGCTGCTAAAGTCGAAGAAATTCGAGTTCCTCTGCTTCTAGACCTCCAGGTACAGAACAAATCCTCTGTTTTTCCCCTTTTTTTCTTGGAACCCATCAAAATAAATSGAGTTTCACGRACACCCATTTCTTGATTTTCGAAGGTGGAGGATTCGAAGTACATTTTCGAAGCGAAAACGATTCAGAGAATGGAGCTTTTGGTGCTGAGTGCTCTGCAATGGAGGATGCACCCAGTGACCCCTGTYTCGTTTCTTGGGCTCTTCACGAGACACCTCGGGCTGAAGAATCGGTTCATTGAGAGCGAGTTTTTCAGGCGCTGTGAGCGCATTCTCCTCTCGCTCGTCTCTGGTAAATTAATTCAATCCCCCATTTTTGTCTCAAAAAGAAAGCTTTTTTCTTTTTCTTTTTTCTTTTTTTCGATTTTTGGGGTTCAGTTTTCGATTCCTGCAGATTCGAGATCGGTGGGGTTTCTTCCTTCTGTGATGGCTGTGTCGACGATGGTGAGCGTTGCTGAAGAAATGGGAGACTGTAACCCATTGGACTTTCAGGATCGGCTTCTTAATGGCCTCAAAATAACCAAGGTTTTTTTTTTCCACCTTTTTTAGCACTCTTTTTACCTAAAATCTCCAATAAAAAAGAAGAAGAAAAACAAAGATAAAACTTTGATTTTATCATAAAATAAAGGTSTAAATCTTATTTTGGAATAGCCCTTCAATATGTTTATTTTTCAGTTACTTTTTAAAATTTGAGATCTCATAATAGTATTTTTCTTTTTACCTTTTAAATAATAAAATAGATACTCGAAGATTTAAATAATGTCTATAAAAAAATTAAAAATAAAACTAATATAAAGATGAATGTTGGTGGACAAACTAGAATTTGAACTTAGAAGTAAATATTGCACCCACCATTTTTTTCATTCCAAACTAATAACTTTGTCCTTTGTTATATTAGAAGTATATAAACAAATGTCTAACAAAAGCGAAACGATATGCAAATATTTACCAAAAATAGTCAGAATATAATCATTTAAGATGGTAAAATAAAAATGTTGCATTCAAAAAAGAATTAAAAAAAAGGGTAAAAGATGAAGGTACATGTGAAGGGTCATCTTTCATTTATACCCAAATAACATACTAAGTTAACCAACTCATATAAATTTAAAGTTTAAATTCCACTTTTAATGTCTCAACATTGTTCTATTTTTCATACCATTTCAAAATATCTATTTTAACCCCTCCACGAAGGAAAAAAAATTAAATAAATAWCCATTTTTTCTAGTATTTTTTACGGTGAACTTCTCATTTTCAAAATATCTATTTTGATTTCTAAACAATTTTTAATAAGTACTATTATTTTGTCATCTAATATTTKRGGTATCTAATGCCAAAATTCTCAAACACAGGTCCACATTAGCATGTCAATAATGTACACAAGTCACATTATCTATTTGTTAGCCCGTTAACATAATCCAAATGATTATTTTCTTATAGTTTAGCAAACCCCAAATACACATTTTATAACTCCAATCAATGGAATTTAAATTCATATCCAAAAATTCCWWYYTTTTTTTTAAATCTAAAAGTTTAAGCCGATAAGAAACCATAATGTTATTGGGATGTTTGATGAACACAGGGAAGAGTGAAGGATTGTTGCAATGTGATAATGGAGGTGTCAAAACGGGCAGCGAAAGCAGAGAAACGCAGATCATGGAAGAGGAAGCAAATGGCCAAGGAGGAAGAAACCAGATCAGAAGCAGAATCAGAAGCAGAAGCAGAAGCAGGGAGCCCCAATGGGGTAATGGAGGCCAATTTCAGCTGTGAAAGCTCCAACGATTCGTGGGGCGTGGGGACGGCCCTGTCATCACCCACCCATTGTTCTTCCAAAAGAACCAGAATCACCCACCCTTGATTCTCTCTCTCGAAAACTCGAATTTGTTATGTGTTTTTTTTTTTCTTGGTTGGAAAAAAATGGCACAAGAACAAAGAGACAGCAGCAACAACCATATGGGCACATTACAAACTCAACTTTATGGTCATAATGATGATGAGAGAGAGGTTTTCTTTGTATTATATGGAATTCATCAGTCTTCGCTATTTGCACCATACTCCATTTCGAACATATTTTCCWTTTCCATCAATCTCATTATTATTATTATAACGTAAGTAAAAGTAGTAAAACAATAATAGGTTTTTATTTTAAAGAGGACTGATAGAGCAAATACCAATATTCATGGAATTCTATTTCAATACCAATCTATATAGATTTTCAAAATACTCCCTTAAAAGGGCTCGTTTGAGTTCATCAATATTGACTAGATCCTATTTTTAAACCTTATGTTCGTTTGAGCTATTTGAGCTCTGTTATCATATCAATATTTACGAGGTTTAATTTCAAAATCAATTGACAATGAGGGTTAAGGATCCCACAAGATAACRGACATGACAAGGATTTATAATAGACATGAATTACTTCTCTCATTGCCAATTAGTTTTCAAATGGAACCCCATAAATATGAATATAGTACAGAGTATAAAAAGCTCAAAAGAACATCCGATCTAAAAATGGATGGAATCCGACCAAAATCGAGTGAACCAGAAGAACCATAATCTTGAAAGACATATCAAGAATCCCAAAGAGACATAATTATAATTTATAATAGACATAAGCTACTTTTTTTWTTGTCGAGATGAAACTAATGAGAGGAATAACTCATCGGATAGATTTTATTAGSGTGTTTTAAGTAGTTGTTGGGTGGTTTGACTTTGGTTTTAAGTTAATGGGAGAGAGAATGTATGAAATTAATGATGTTGGTGAGGTGATTAAGAATGTTAAAAGGGTTAGATTGGCCCACGAGAYTTGGGGGTGTGTTTGTTTTTTTCGTCTGCATGTGAGAGGAGGGACACAGTGTCGGCCATAGCTTCTGTTCAACCATTATATCATTGTGTTCATGTTGACCAACACATTTACATGTAAATATCTTTTTTTCTTTTCTTTCTTTTTAAAAATGTGTGTTTTAGATCCATATTTACCTCCCGCCATAGCAATCAAAATCTATAGTCAATCTCGAGAACAAAAGTAACATGATAGAAACACATCGCTCGTAACAATACACAAATTTAGACTAATTTGAACGCAGTGGTTAAATGGTCAATACTGAAGACATAGTAATATTTCTTAAAATACATGGATCATAGTGTAGCCTATAAATTTCCTAGTCATTAATCTAATAAGGTATTCTTTTTAATAAATTTTTATCCGTAGTTTATGTCTAGCTAGATTATGTTAAATTATAACGAGACTTAAAAATTTCAGCTTTATCTTTATACTCTATGATCTTTAGGGAGGAGTAAATATGTTGGCCACCACACATATTAAATCATGTAATTAGACCCAACCAACTTAAATTGATAGATTATGATAGGTTTAATGTTTTATCCATTTTCTTAATAGGTTAAGACATTATTTACAACTATTCTAAATAGTTTCTAGGTGTATTTAAAGTTTGACGAGTTCAAACTATACCATTAAAAATATTAAATATACGAACACATTATTGATCCTTCACCATCAAATAAATTGACATAGTATATCATGTGATTGTACTCAATTAATATGTTATTATTGTTAAAGATCCAACGTCGAAAACAAAAGAGACCTTACATARGTTTATAATAGATATGGACTACTCCTGTCACATCCAATTGGTTTTTAGATAGAACCTCAAGAATATTTTGATATGGTATTAGAGTCTAACAAACTTAAACGAGCAATCGATCCAACCAAGATCGGTGGTTGCATGTGGATGAATGGGCGGTTGAGTTGGGTTTCTCTCTCTAGAATTGACCTCGTAGAAACAGCTTAAATTGAGTGGCAGAAGGGTGGTTGTAGAGGAGAAGACCATTTTCAACTTTATGATAACCTAATATTTCTGACCTTTTTCTGAAGCAACCCAACTGTTCATCTTTCTTTATTGTTTTTGAAGACTTATGTCTTTACTCTTTACCCATTCTCATTACAAGCAGGGTTTAAATATCCTCRTTCGTTAACATTTTTATATATCTATGAATTACTATAGAAAAAGTTGACATATTATTAAAAAATATCAACAAAATATCACCCATATAGATACTGCAAGAATAAACAAACTGTGAGAGTGAGGAATTCGAACTCACAACATTCTGGTTGGAGATATATACCAATTACCGCTGAACTATGCTCGCTTTGACAATTATCACGTAGAAGTTAATGTTCGTACCTTATTATATACCAATTACCGCTGAACTATGCTCGCTTTGACAATTATCACGTAGAAGTTAATGTTCGTACCTTATTATTCACACAAGACCAATAGAATCCTAAAAAGGAAGTAGGAAAGCTAAAATAATAACAATATGCGTCTATTATATTGAATTCACCCCAACTCAATATTACCATATTTTTGGAACTTCTAATGCCAAAGTCATCGAGTGAGCAAGCTTCCCAAATCCCTAATATATTATATGTTGGGCTACGAATGAAAATTTTATCAAAAGTTTCTATCGTATCAATTTACCTTTGTTTAATTCCTCTCGAAACATATATATACTCGAAATTAAGTTAAAGTAGCAGTATAAATTTGACTATTTCACATATGCATTTTTAATCATTTATAGAACAAATTAAAAGGCATATGTATAATGGGTTGCATTTGCAATATTAGGTTAGGCATGTAAATGCATGTTTACGTCAAAGTTGAAAAGCTTATAAACAGTTAAATAATGGGATGTGGAGAAAAATGCACTCAACTCAAATTATTCATCAAAAACCCACTTTTGCTTTTGTATCATTTCTCCTTCACTTTTTATTATTTTTCTCAATGCCCTAGATAACATTGCCTTTGCCTTTCTCAATTACCTCAAATTCAAATGTATAACTTGACAACCTCTCAATTTTTTATTTTGCTAATAAATTAATTTGTTACTACTACTCATTTAATTTTAATCTCTACCCTTTTTTTTTTCAAGATGGTGAAGAGAAGGAGGTTAAATAAAAGCACCCTAGAAGAAACAGTCGTTTGTATATTGACCCATAGGAGGACTACAGATCTATATTTATGTGAGAAAATTAGACGGTTGTTTCAAAAACTGTAGTTATATTTCTATTTGTTTGAAAATCTAATGGTAGCCTATAGTATCTCAAATATCAATCAAACTTTTAAATTGAACTAATATTTAATTGTCAAATAACTCAGTAGTAATTGACATATATCTTCAATCAAGAAGCTGTGAGTTTGGTTCACCACTCCCACGTCTTGTACTAAAAAAATTAATATTTAATTTAATTTAATTCTTTAACCTTTTTGCATTTTGAAAACATTTTATATTCTTTTTCACCTTGTTTTTTGAATTTCAACCCACAATCTTTTTAATAAAGTAGTTTTCAAACATTTTTGAAAAAGGTAAAAAACAAGAAATAGAATGGTGATAGAATGGTAAACATCAAGAAGCTTCTTTGTTTCTTTATACATATATCTGTATTAAAAGTAAAAGTAGGAGCGAAAAAAATTTAAAGTTTGGACTAACCAAATTTTACCACTCAAATAAAAATCGATAAGAAATTATTGACGTACAAGATAAGGGAAAAATTCAGTTTAGAATGCGATTAAAATCGTATATTGACTAGATAAGGAAACAATTTATGAATTTATAAGTGTGAGATAATTGGTATGAAGATTCTTGCGTAAAACCAAAATTAAAAAAAATAATGTGAATTATGCGTAGAGTGGATAATATCAAGATATAATTGTCTCTAACAGATGGTATTAAAATCATGCTCCTGACTTAGCTGTCTCAAAGATATAGTCATGGTGATTCGTAGTTAAGCTTTATCAAAATAGCCGGTCACTATCTTAGGGAATTGAAGGCTCAATGATACTCTGTTCAAAAAAAGATTGTGGAGATATCGACATGGCTGTCGTTTGTCTTAACAAATCCCGAGATATAAATTTTGGTACCAAATAAACCATGAACTTTTAACAATTTTTGGTTWTTTTGTATTTATCCATTACAAGATTAGTAAGATAGAACCATTAACCCCATGAATACCTACAAAAGAAAAGGGGGTTAAGTTAAAAATGGTCACATCCAACCTCCAAAACCCAAAAAATAAATCACCAAAAAGGGTTTTTGGAATTATGTCCCTATTGTCAATTCATATGATGCAAAATTGTAGTGGGTTCTTAATGGCTGATTCCCTTTTGGTTTTGTTCTATTTGCTTTTTTGTTTCATTTCCTTTTAGCAAGAAAGATAAAAGGGAAAACAAGAACTTGTCTTTCTTTGCATATGTTCTATAATAATACATAAAACCTTAACCTTTCTTTTCCCATCAGCTGGTTTTAGGATACACATGAGAGAATTTTAGTGAGTGGAAAGGCTAAATTTTCCCCTCAAAACAGAGAGAGGAAGTGGCATCAAAGTTGAAAAGCCAAAAGGTGGGAAATTTTGAATTTGGGAGACAAAAATCTCTTTGATAGTATTGTGGGGAAGATCAAAATTGGCCCATTTTCTCTTTGTTCTTTACTTTAGAGCTGTAGTAGTATATACAAATGCATGCTATTCCATCATGATTCATGAGAGAGAAGGATAAGAAAGAGATTTTAATTTGGTAAAAGGAACACAGCTTGCTCCCAAGAAGAAGCAAAGATTATGAGGGTCACAGTTTGTCCCCTCCCCACACCAATAATTGCAGAATAATATTATACACAACTTTACCAAGTTTTTTAACCTAAATTTTGTCTTTTCCTAGTGGATTCATGAATTTTTAATTTTGTATCTAACAAGTTCCATAAAAGACAATTTTTAACTAAATTTAGAAACCCACTTAAAACTTTTAGGACTATAACTCATAGAAGTTTAGGAGCTAAATTTGTGTTGGGTTTGTAACGAGGACAAATAAAGTTTCACATTGATTAGGGAAGGGAGTGATCTATGATATATAACAAAGGACAATTATCTCTATTGGTATGAGGTCTTTTGGGTGAAACAAAAAATAAAACCATGAAGGTTATGGTCAAAGGCAGTGTTGAGTATCTGTGTTGTCCTTAACAAGTGGCATCAAAGCCAAGTTAAAAACCTAGCTGTGTGGAAGGAATTCTTGAG